CACCCCGCCGCGCCCCCCGCCGCGCAGCCCGCGCATCCGCCTGAACGCGACATGTGGTTTCTCAATGGTACGGAACGACACGAAAAAGAAGAGAATCCATCTCGCTGTCGCTTCCTGGTCGTGGCGCTCGCGACGCTCCGCCCGGGTCCGCTTGTGTGGCACTGACTCAAGTGTGTGAATGTCGTACACTTGTACGGGCGTGACTGTTCCGTCGAGCTCCCTGCACGTTCTACGACAGCTGGCATTCTCACTTTGGGGTTTGCTGTGTGTTTCTTGAGGCGCTGCTCGCCATGACTCTGTGCGCGCTGCGGGTCCTCTAGGGCCTCTCTCTCTGGACTGATTCGGAAGCACCGGTCCACGTGTTCTGCTCACGCCCCGGTTCCATATATGCGCCTGCCTCTGTCGGTCCGCATCTCGTTGTTAGCTTTTACAAGCTCGCCCGGGCCCGCCCCAGCTCCAGCTCCAGATCTGGCCCAGGTTGTCTCTGCTGCCCTCGTGACCATCGTGGGGGCCCCGCAGCCGGCTGGTTATGGCTCACGGCCTGCTTATACGGCCAGGGCCACGGTGTTGTGCAGATTTCTCTGGCACAGCCCATTTTCACCTCTCGGCCTGCCTCAGCCACGGTCCAGGGCGCCGAGAGTGTTATTGTTGTTATTCGGTGGTGCGCCCCGGAGGCCCCCCGCCAGCCTTCTCCCCTATGCCCCCTCCCACCGCTGTCGGCCCTGACGCTCTGCCAGGTGCCAAATCAGCTCGCCTCGGCCGTAGATTGAGTCATTGAGCCCTCCTGCTTCAGGCCCGGGCCGCCGCCCCGCCCCGCCCCGGGACGCGATAGTTCGGTCCTGGCCCCTATTGTTTCTCCCTGTTTCCTACGCCCCGTCACGCCCCGCCACGTTCAGCGCCGAAAAGCCCCCCCAATTTTCTCCGTTTCTCTGTGAAATCAGATCCCTCCCGCCCCACCCGCCGCGCCGCGCCACGCCCTCGCGTAGCCAAAGCACCGCGCCGAGCCGAGCCGTGTAGTTTAGTTGCCTCGATTAGCTATTTCGGTCAACTTGTTTGGGAGCGTGTGCGGGGGAAGGAGAGGAGGGCGAGGCAAAGCCGACCGATTTCCCATTCTATTCCGCCCTCTCACGGCGCCCTGGGCCGCGCCCCGCTGGGCCTCGGCAGCCCTTTCACGTGCGCTGCGTGGGCCCTCGGGTGGGCCCTCGGGTATGGGCCCTCGTGAGCCCCCGGCCCGGCACAAAAGGGCCCCCTGCGCTCGCATGAGCCCCCGCGGCCCACCGCGCCACGCTTGGATTCGTCACGGCCTGTTTGGTCGGATCGGAGGCCTCTCGGTGGCTCATCGCTCGCCGCTAACGAGCCTCCCGTCCCGTCCTGGTGCGCCCCCCCGGACCCCTCGCCGGCCGCCGGGTGTCCACGGGGGCGTGGGAGGCGCTGTTCACTCCCCGTGTACAACAAGCAGCGGGGCGGCCGCGGCGCGCACGCCAATGCAATCAGCATGACGGTAGTGGTGGCCGCACCGCCGCACCGCCGCGGGGCCCGGGGGCCACCCGCATTGAGATCACCGCCAGAGAGGAGGGAGCCGCCGCGTATCCGCTCCGGCGCGGCGGAGCAGCGCGCTCCAGTAGAACAAGTCAACGACCCTAAAGCGTTTTCAGCTATTGTGAGAACTATTTCTTTTTATTAATACGTGCTTTTTTGCCTGTGCTTGGACGCGCTGCAAATAATTGTGTCACATGACACGCATATATACACAACACACACACACCCTTCCGGTCCATAGGCGACGGCGCGGGGTGGGGCCCCCCGTGCACGATGCGTGTGTGTGTGTGCGTGCGTGCGTAGGTGTGCGTGTGTGTGTGTGTGTGAGTCGCAGAGCCGCCGGGCCCGACGGCTTCACGGTGCCGTGAGCGCGCTTCATCATTTGGTGGGCGGCTCGGAGGATACGTATATATGCAGAGCAGGGAGCCCCCGGGCCGGCCTCGCCCAGCCCTCACCTCCCCGCTCTAGCGCCCCCGCGCCATAACTTATTCGCACACTAAAAATCGTACCTTTGATTTCACGGCGAAAATTGGTGCATTGTTTTAAAGGAAAGTTTGACTTTGATATGTAAAGCTGATTTCAGTTAATTTGAGGGAATTCCCTTGGAGTAACGGAATGACGTTAGGACGAATGTGGACGGCTTAAGGATACCCCGCCCCCGTTTTAAATATCAATCCATTTCTAACAGTGTGTTCTTTGTATGTTTTTCAGGTGAGGATGCTGAGCAGAAGGCCCCCCGTCCCCGTGGACCACTTGGCACAGCCTCGCGAGATGCGGCACGGGGTGACCAGGTCAAAGGCTGAGTACCGGGTCGCCCTTCGCGTCTGTTGGGCAATAGACGACGCGATGGTCACAAACCGAAAATGCTAAAATATAAAAGACCGACCGTCCAATGAAAGTGACTGTTTGAGGCGAGAGGTCGCGCGTTTGGAGAGGCGCGGGGCGTGGGGCCGCGTGGGGCGCTACCAGCAGCTGTCATGGACGCGGCAGTAAAACGGCCGAGTAGCTACGAACTAGCGCCCGCCCCGCCCCACATGGGCGATGGTGCCATAGAGGCGTCGCGACACACTCACACACACACACACACACACACACACACACACACACACACACAAACACACACACACACACACACACACACACACACACACACTCAGTTGGCAGTGCGAAGGTCCCATAACGTCGCCTTTGAGTTCTTGGGAAGGACAGTCGCTGCTGGGAGGCGGCCCAGCTGACGACTCGACGCGTGGCAGATGCTCTTGTGGCGCTACACGGGCTGCAGGCCGAGTGCGCGCATTCCTAGGCTAGACCGCGCGGGGCCTCGCCGGGCCTGACGGGGCATTCCTGGACCGCGCTAGGCTGCGTCCCCTCGGCGTGGGACCGTGTGTGTCTAGGGCGGAGGACGGGACGGCGCGTGACGGCACGGGACGGTCAATAAAGACGTCCTTGGAGCCCGGCCTGAGTGCGCTACAGCCCGCTACAGCCTCTACAGCCTCTACAGCCCGCGCCCAACTTCTCGCTCCGCGGCACCGCCGTCGCACCGCGATGGCTGTTCTCTCGGAAAAGTGCTCGAGTTCTTGCCAGCGACAGTGGTATCGAGTTCCGCGCAGGCCGTGTAGCGACCGTACAGCGGCGGCGGCCGTGGCTGAGCCCGGCCCCCGCCTGCCGGGTGAAGGAACCCCTTTAGCCCCGGCAGTGTCGATGGGTGACGCTGAGCAGATGGCCATCCTGTCTGTCTGGCTCGGTCTGGCTCGCTGCTGGGGCGGGGCTGAGCGCGATCGCACGAAAAGTGTTGTTATTTCAGCGATCGCGAGCGCGCCGGTGCGGAGGTGGCGGCGGCCGCACACCAAGTTTAAACCTCTCGCACACGGCGCGCGCGGCCGCCTCGAACTAGACACTCGGGCTATTCGCGGACCAGCCCCGCCCGCCCCGCCCCGCCCTGCGCCGCCCCGCTCCGTGCCATCACGGTTTGCAGCAGACCGGAGCAGGCGGGGGCCCGGCGCCTCCACCAGCCCAGCCCAGCGCCAGCACGCGGCCGCAATTAGGTGGCATGTGTGGGCGGGGCCGGCGGGGCCGGGCGATCGCTGACCCAATCCGAGCTGCAATGACTCTTGATGGGAGGTCGCCGGGTGCAACGAGATGCACCACTCGCTCGGACGCGTCTGGTCTGCTGGGCTGGCTGCAGGCAGAAGCAGGTCGTAAGAGATGATTGCGGTGGTGGTGATGATGGTGGTGGTGGTGGTGATTGTGAAGCCGCCAGGGCGGTCACGCGGCCGATGTCGGTGCTATTGACAGCTTTATCGGCTGCCTTCGTTGCTCGGATCAAATGGACACAGATTCGAGGTTTGGAGGGAAGGGGGGGGGGCTATGCTTTGCTCAGCTCCAGAGTCTGCACGAACACGCACACTGGAGCAGCATTAGGTCAAAAACAGGTTTCAACATAATCAAATCACCATCGACCGGCACGTCGAAAAATCGTTTCATATCAGCTCGGCGCGCTTGAACCTCTCTTCTCAAAACTTCTGATTCATTTCTTATTCCTGGGTACGCATACATGCACGGGTGTGTGCTGGTATCGCTGATAAAGTTGATCGCATCATCGCCGCAGACCGTGACACACTCACTCCGACAGTGACGGCTAGGTCATGGTGCGGGTCCGCGGGCTCTCGCTGTCGGGCGGAAATAATCAGAGCCTCCCCTCGGCTCGGCCGCAGCCGTCACACCAGAGGGGAGGGAGCGCAGCTTACCGACGCTCACGCTGATTGAGTCCGCTTGTGAGTCGGGACAATGTGTGTCCGGCGCCGCGCCCCGCGCCTCCGCGGCAGAGCAGAGAGAGAACGCGATTTGTTTGGTCAGACAGCGGAGCGCAGCGCGCAGCCGGTCGGCAACGAGATCAGCGTCAGCCGGCCTGTCAGCGGATCATCCCCGGCCCCGGCCCCGCCCCGCGGGGTCCTGGACTGGAACAGACTCCATACCCGACGCGAACCTGGCGAATTTTGTACTTCAGTTCCGTCGTATATTCGTTTGCTGTTCGTGTTGCTGCTGTTTTAAGTTACCGCATTTCCTATCGTTAGGTAGAGTCTGATGCCGAGTCCAAGGGGTTTTCGGTTGAGCCTCTGGTGGGCCCGGGTGGGCCCGGACATGCGCGCCTCAGTTTCGGTGCAGGCCTGCGGGGCCGTTAAGTGGGATGGTCACGCTCTCCTCTCTTTCTCGGGCGCTCCCTCCGGACCCTTCCTACCC